GCTGATGGCTGGCGGCGTGTGTGTTAAGTGTTCTTCCAGCTAATCCCAAGTGTGATAATTTTCTGTGTGTGACATTGACATTGTGCGCGCAGTGTGTCTGCAGATAAGTTTCGGGTAACATATGCTGCCAACGATTACACTCAAGCTGATGGATGTCGATGGGAAACTTAACCCCCAGCCATGTCCCATGCTATGATAATGAGCAGTAGATGTTACCGCATCTAATGGCGGGGAAGGTGTGGCCTTCCTGCCTGCTGCGTGATAGTCAAAGTTTTGTTGCGGTACTCGAGTTCGGTTTTCCCCCCCAAAAATGGGGGATAATGGGGGATTGAAACCTGTCTGGAATGAGCTATGAGTGGAGTCTGCCTTACCATCCACATTAATCTGGAGGAAAAATGTCAAAGGCAATCTGCATCGCGGCAGGAAATATCTTTAGCTGCTCTAATACTTTCCCAGGCCGAAGGCAATGCGGAAGATTCCCAGGTTCAAGCGCTAAGAAGACGTTAATAATCGACAGACATTCATAAAATCCTAAATCCAATTCGTTACGTGCAACGTAGAGGCAGGATCGACGGCGGCGTTATCACCTTTTAGGGACAAACACAACCCAGGAGGTCCTGCAGGACTCCGACTCTGGGCTCGTTAAAATTTCATTCGTTTGTCCTTTCATTAGCAAAGCTGTGATAATTTTACCCAGAATATAACCCGAAGACGAAGATGCCAAAGAACCCGAAGAGCGAGAGAGACAGGGAGAGCGTCGGCGAATGGAACTGATCTCATCTGATCTGGTTTAAATATTACAGTGGCTGCTGGCGGCAGTTCAAAAGGATCCGCCGGCCACAGAGCCAGAGAGAAAGAGAGGCGCAGCCCCTGCAACACATTCTGATTAAGCATGAAGTCGTGTCGGTTCCCTAGGTCTATGGGTCCGTCTCTCTCCCTCCCTTTCCCTTTGTTTTTTCCGCATTAAAATTCTTAATTTATTTCAGTCAGAGAGATGAGCATCATCGCATCGGTTGAACTTGAGCAAACAGTGGGCTCAAGTGCGGAGGCGCATTAGGCACAGTCATTCCCACTATACGCGTCTGGTGCTATCCCTTCCACGGGTATTCCCATTTGCCGCCCATCCAAATCCATTCCCCGAATCATGCTCTCGGACGCTGTCTATTTGTGGATCATTCTCTATGGTTCTGGATATCTGGCATATCTGGGATAACTGGGGGTGTGAAGTGCGGCACATTTGGTCCGTTCAAAGGTGTGGGCCCGATGCGTGAAGTGGGCGTGCCGGCGCCCTCTCTCTCTCGCTCTGCAACACTTCTGATTGTGCAATAAAAACGCAGCAAGGGCATTGCAAATTGCTTGAATGCTTCCTCCTGCCCGCCACAGCTGTGGCCCATTCGATTCGCTTTTCATTTTCGATTATTTATTTATGTTTGTGTGGGGCATGTGCATGTTCTGTCGCGTTGCGGTCTTGGGAAGGTGCCAAGTCATCGACGATCGCTCAATTTGCCAAGCATCTGACGCCAGATGGCGCCAAGGCTAATGCCTAACAAGACAATAACAGATTTCTTGTAAATTGTGTGCCCTGCCGAGGGTGGAACTGAAACTGGAACTGCACTTATGAAAAATGAATGCCAATGACAAATTTATGTAGAAACTTTAGCGCTAAAGTGCCACTAACTAACCTCTTCATACACACACACACACACAGCCACTCACACACACACTCGGAGAGGACACACTTGAGCAGAGATGAGTGCAATGGCACGGCGCCTGGATGCGGACTTTATGAATGGGCAGCAGAAGAGGCACCTATGAATAGATGCAGCTCGGGGGCACACTGGCTCAGGACTCACAATGGGCACTCCCACGTTGATTACTATTAAAAGAGGCGGCCTTATGAAAGGGCGCTTCTAGTCTAGTGGGAGGGGGGCTCTGTGTGTGTGTGTGGGGGGGGAAAAGCTTCTGACAATGTCAATGTGCCTGCTTTGCCTCCGCTGCGCAGCTTTTAATGATTTATTTGAGAAAATTTACACGTGAGCGCTGGGGAAAAAGAGGATGGGGTAGGGGAGGGGGTGGGGGTAGGGGTAGGGGAAAACAAACACTAGCACAGACGCGGGCAAACAGAAGATGAATGGAAATGAAACCCGCATGAGGCACCGCATGGTAGGGAAACATATGGCAGGCAGGCAGGAAGGCAGGCAGGGAGGCAGGAGGATGGGCTGGAGGATGGGACGGGGCTTGCTTGGCATCCTGCTGAATTAAGTTGCCAGACCATGAAATGCTTTGGCACGTACGTAGCGCCAATTCCGCGAAGCTTTTTGCATAAACAAAAGGTATCCGTGGTGGGGTTTTGGGCAGGAGAATGGGAATGGGAAGGGGAATGGGTTGCCCTTGCTATCTACCCCTCTCCATCGCCAACGCCATCGCCATCTCCATCTTTTTGTATGTTATTTCAGTTACAATTCGCGAGTTTTTCATATTCCTTTAACGATTTATCATGCGAAAATTGTCTGGGGCCAAAGCCACGCTCACTTTGCATATGCCAGGCATATGCAGAAGGCATGCACCGTGGTACCAGAGACATTCCCACACTGAACAGTAAATCCACAATTCATTATTGCCTTTTGGGCAGAGTTCATTCTGTGCTTTAGTTCGGGTGCCACTGTGCAAACGTTTACTATTATTGTTTTACCACCTGCGGGTGTTTTTTCCCTGTCTTGCGCTCCTTTTGCACTACGTAAATTTAGTCACGTTGTTTAAATAATAAACTGCAGTTCACACACACACACACACACACAGAGATGAAATTATGCAAATCAAAGCAAAGCAAAAGATATAGTAGTGTCTGAGAGCCACAATCAGAGACAATGGGCAAAGTTATGATGACAATGCGCATACGTCATGGTGCCAGAGGTGGAGGAGGAGGTGCCCGTCCCACGGTCTTGATTTGGTTTATTTCGACCAAAACCAACTGAAACTGATTCCACACAGAGATACAGATACAGGTACAACTCAATCAGTGAAACGCTAAAGGGGGAATGAAGCCAGAATACGAGCAGGTGGAGGCTCGGGAAAAAATAATCACAATTAATTATTGTTTATCGCTAAACAAATATCTTTTAATTAGCATGAAATATACGAAATCCCAGATAAGATCTGTGTAATTTTATGGCCCCAAAGGGCTGAGAGAAGCTCCGAAGAGAGAGAGAGAGAGAGAGTTGAACCGTTAAACTCAAGATGCGATTTAGATCAAAGTGAAAATGCCATCAAAACTCATTTGGAATTGAGAGATAAAACTCCAAATAGCATAATGCTGATGATGATGGCAAATAAATGAGATGAAATGGATTGACTTTATCCAGAGTGTGGTGCATAGAGTGAACTTTAACCCCCCCCTTCGCTCCCTCTTGACACACACTTGCCTCACGTAGTCAGTGAATTTGCATACGCAGTGCTGCAGGGTACAACAATTTGTTACATTGTTTTTACGTACCAACTTAGTTGTGTGGACCAAGAATTATTACAGAGCATAAATTCCAAGCAGCAGAGGAGCACCAGAGCAGCAGCAACCTACTTTCTCGTACCCCCAGAGGCAACAAAAGGGTTACCAAAAATAGCAAGACAGGCCATATACAGACAGAGAGATGGAGAGAGAGAGGGAGGGAGAGGGAGGATGCATCCTCCTTCTCACATAAGGCCATAAAATAGTTGTCGCTGGCCTGCCATCGGATAAGCATCTGGCCCCCGCTTTTTGGAGTTGGCCTCTGATTACTTCGTTAAGTTGCATGTTCCTACAAATTGTTTCCAAAGAAAGGCAATGAAAATAAAAATTATTGTCCCTCCCTCCCCCCAGAAAGGAAGAGCGAGAGAACTGTGGGTCTGTGGCTGCAAGGGGTCAAAGGTAATCCACAACATAACATGAAAGTTGTGAAAGGTGCATCTCGAGTCTAGTTTATGCTTTGGGGATCCCTATGATCTTGCTCCAGTCCCCCCAGACACATTCATTCCAGTGTCCGTCCGTGGCTCCTGTCAAAATATATGCCTCTCTGCTTTCTTATCAGAGGCCTGTCATCAAAAAGAAACACAGACAGAGACGACGACTATGACGACGTACAAGTGCCTCTCTGCTATGGGAACTACTGGGAACTTCATTAGAGAAAGTCCCCCGGGAGACCCTTTTGCTACTAATTTTTAGTAGCTTTGTCTTCTGTGTGTATATATTTTGTCAAAGCTAATTAGTACGTAAAGGCATTAACAATGCAGCACAGTGATGAATATATGACTGAGCCCGAAAAACCGAACACCGAGCACCGAACCCCGAAAACCGAGCTGCATTTCGAGTGTGAAAAGCATATTTTGTCGTTTTTGTCGTTTTTGTTGTTGCTTGCTGTTGGGTTTCCTCAAGTCATTATGGCATTGGCATTAGCATAATACGCGTATTATATGCGTATTAATTACAGCGCAGACATTTGCATTTAAACGCCTATTTGTACGCAGGTACAAGGCAACAAACCAAACGAAGACTCAGACCCAAAGATGGTGGTGGGTCCGGGTACCCACACAGACAGACAGAAAGACAGCCAGACAGAAACTCGCCCGGTAGCCAAAGCTCGAGCTGTAATTATTGAATTAGAAGACAATAGACCCTAAAGAGGCAGCTCGGCAGCAGCTCTGGCTGGAGATGCGTACGGCTTGATAGTTGGAGCCAAAGACCACCCGAGCGTAAAGAAAAATATCCCAAAGATCTGGGATGATGGTAGGCTGATGAGGTAGGCCAGGACAGGCAAACAAAAAGAGTTATTATGTTCGGATATTTGCATAAATTTCACGCCCTAACAAATGTAATGATCCAGAGAGGAAGTCAGCATTCTCAGATTGTTTGGGAAGCTGTTTCTCCGCGATGCATAGCGATGTGTGTGTTCCAGACAGTATCTTGATATAATGAACTTTAGATATCACAATTTTTAGAGCTATACTTAGGTTCTATACTATGCTTGGGATCAGCCAAACATTTTCAGGAACTCGCTGCCCAAATGATGGACATCGCTGAAGTGTTGCAGCAATGATTTGGGGCACCTCTGGAATACCTGATCGCAGTCAGTGCCAGCCTCGCCCAAGCGTTCGGCCTGCAGATAGTCATTGTCCGAATGCTCGGACAAGGGATCCACAGAACTGGAGGGTCTACGAAGAGAAAGGAGTATTAGGAGACAGCTACCTCAGCCGCCAGTTAGTTGAGACAAACTTACGTGAGCAGGATATGGAGTAGCTCGCCCAGCAGTCCGTTCCTTTCATCGAATGGCGCTGCCGCACTCTCACAGATGCTCTTCAGGATGCACTCTCGTCCCTGGAGGTTCATGCGAATGGCCAGGGCCTGAAAGGCCTCGTACACGGTCCAGCGATAGCTCGCCAGGGCCTGGACATTCTCATCCATGTCCCACGATGTCACACCCAGCTCCTCGTCCGTTTTCTGCATGATCTTCTGGAAGATGGTGGCATTCGCTGGTAGCTCACGCTCATTGATGCCATGAATATTTTTGATCCTAAGTTGTCGGGCGGAATAGGGCAAATAATACTGCGCTTTGAACACATAACCCGTTACCACAGACTCTATCTTGAGATCCTCCACGGGTATGCCAAAGCCAACGATCATCTGTCAAGAGGGGTTACGGGTAAGTGAGAGAGAACTTTCTTTGCATGTGGTATCGATGGGGGATTTCTTACCTCCAATCTTGTGGGATCAGCACGTGGAAAGATCAGGGGCAGCCAGCGGGCTTTACGCACCAGCAGCTCACTCTCACTGTGATGGATCTGGCTGCCATTAAACACAGAACTGCCGCACACATATAGCAAGCCAATAATCACAAGAAATACATTCAGTATTAGATCCATTTTGAGATCCTTGGCAGGTGAAGACATCGACCAGACCACACAGCACCAAAGGCAGATTATGACTGGCTGCGGGACTTGCAAAATGTTTTCACTTTAATAACCAAACGAATCCCACTTCTTACTTTCTTTGATTGGAAAACCGAAAGTGCCATTGGAGACTGGACGCAATGTGGAGCACTTGAGTCACGATCTAGACGCCATAGGTCCGACCATTATGTGGGACGTCACTGTGGGGGCTGTGCTTCCCGCTTCTGGCCTTAGCGAGAACTTCACGTTCTCCCAATTAACACCACACCCGGGCCGGGCCGGGCTGGGCCGCTCCACAGCTCCACATTTGGTTGCTTTGTTTCTAAGCTCCGTTTCCCAGAAGAACACTGAGCGAAAGTTTTTTGTTTTTTGGGTAGATTTTTGGTTTATTAGCTCAGAACAAGACCTTATTCAAGTTGTGGTGGAGCTCACTGAAGTGCTGCAGCAGGCTGCGACGGCACTCCTTGAACACCCGATCGCAGCCGGCACCGGACTGGCCCATCTTCTCGGCATAGTAATACTCGTTATCCGCATGCTCCGACAATTTGTCCACCGACGAGGAGGGACTGTAAGGGAAGGCAAACTCCGATAAGAATGGGCTCTGGCTGCACTTGTGACCTTCACTTACGACAGCAGAATGTGAAAGAGATCCGCCACGAGGCCATTGGCAAAGTGGAAGGGTTCCTCGGCAGCCTCGCAAATGCTCTTCAGGACACAGATCCTGCCCTGATAGCCCAGGCGATCGGCCAGACCCTCCAGGCCCTTGTAGACGGTCCAGCGGTAGCTGCTCAGCACCTTATTCGTTCTCGTCAGGATCTTCCTGGTGTTCTTGCCCAGCTCATCCACCCCGACCAGGAAGTTCTCGAACATGGGCTTTCGCTGGCGGCGCGCACCGGTGATGCCAGGTGTGGCCACCTGTGTAATGGGCAGGGCTGTGGGTGTCCTCAAGTCATCTGGCGTGATGGGCAGCCAGTACTCCACTTTGAGGACATACCCCGTGGTCACCGCCTCAAAATTGAGATCCTCCAGGGGCAAACCAATGCCGCCAATGAACTGTAAGAACATCGGATAGAGGTTAGTTGCTCAGCATATGATTGGGGATGGTCCCTCCACTGACCATGACACGTGTGGGCGAGGTTGTGGGAAAGATCAGCCAGGGTATCGGCGTCCTCTTGCTGCGCTCATGCTTGGACAGGCTGCCCAGGGTGGCCATGGCCATGTGCAGCATCTGGCAGAGGAGGCAGCCCACCGTGATGGTTGCTATTCTGAATTTCATTTGTTGTTTTACTATATTCCCTGAGCGATTCCCCAACGCGTTGTTAATGCCAGCTCTGGCCGATCGATACTAAATCGTATTCTTGGTGTTTTTTTTCTAGCTCACGAATTTTCCTTTTGATTTCTCAATAAAACTACGCGATCGCAGAGCTGGAAGCCATCTACTTTCTCGAGAGAAGAAGAACGTTACACATTCTAGCAATTAGCACCTCTCCAATTGTGGAGCTCAGCGGCCAGGAGAGATTCGTTCAGCGACGGGGTGGAGTGGCGGTAACTGTGTAAATCTTGCATATTCCGGTTTTGTTTTTTTGTTTGAGCCGCCGATACCGTAAGCCATTTCTCACTTGTTCATTAGAGGAGCCCAGAAATGGCAGAGCTGCCATTTCTGACGCCCATTTCTTGTGCCTTTTGTGGGCTCTAACTGATTCTGCAACTTGCAATTTGCCACTGCAACTTAGTTCACTGAGAGCTTGCCTTACGATGGGTTCGTTGCGCTGCGAACTTTGCTTGGGTCTTCTAGTGCTCCTCGGTCTGGGGTTCTCGCAGGGTTTTCTCTTCTTTCCGCGCCAGGGATCTTTTGGGGTAAGGAAAGTCGGGTTCCAAAACTAAACTAAACGTTGACTTATTTTCAGTTGCTGGCTGCTGTGGCTATACCCTTGGATCTGTCGCCCAAGAACGTTTACATGGCCTTCAATTTCGAGTCCAACTATGCTTTGCCCTCGAATGACTCCTACAATCAGTGGATCGATAGGTGGGATCTAGACGATCCCTTCATGGGTTTGCCCGGCAATGTAACTCCCATCAATGCACGTGATGGAGGCGCCTCCGATGAAGACAACGAAGTGAGACGTCGCTCGATGAGGTCTCCGCCACCGTTCAGGCGCCACGACTTCTATCGCAGCGTTATCAACTACCTGACCCACTATGGGTACAATGGCTCCTCCTGCCTGCTGCGAACCATTTGCGAGGTCAACGAATCGCCTCTGGATGCCCACAATGGGCTGCTGGGCAGCATATTCCAAATTCTATTCATGTGAGTCCGTCGTCTCTGACCAGGGGTCGCCGCTAATCACCTTTTGGTTCATCCTCTCTCTCTCTTTGCGCCAGGCCAACGACGAGTGCCGCAGAGCGTCAACTGCAGCACGTGGACGAGCTCTATGAGGCCTCCGATGCGGGCACGCGCGGCTTTGGCTGCTCCAAATACGTGTCCCAGTGTGGACACAGTTTGCTGGACCTGATAAGCATTGTGTTGTGAATAATTACCCCTCACACACACACACACACACACACACATAACGAAAAACTTCCAAAGTGAAGCCAGTGGCACAAAAGAGAAATTCCCACTGCCACCGCTGCATGATGTAGAACTTTATTCAGGATTAAAGATGCGAAGATATTGCAATAAAGTCTCAAAAATGTTCACAGAAATAAAGACGCTCCCCAAGCAGTCCTGTCTGCGGTCTGATGTTTGCCTCCCGCGGCGTGAAATGTTTTAATTTCGCTTAAAGCGCTTAAAGACGACGACGACGCAGTGCCCCAGCAACAAAGCAGATGATGAGCTCAGTGAAGAAAAAAGGAGTCCTAAGCTGGCCGCATGGATATGGTTTGGGTTCCGGGGTTTCGTTTCGGTTTTTGAGGTTTGCTTAATGTTGGTTGGACATGTGTGTGTGTGTTGAGAGTCCCTGCTTTATATTTTTGAGATGCCGATTCTGTTCTGTTCTTTTCTTTCCGTTCCGTTCCTTTCTTGTGCCCCTTTGATCGCTTTTCCCGCTTCTTTTGTGCCAAATTGTACTCCCCTCCCTGCAGCCATTGTCTGAGTATGTTTAGCGGTCTCCTTTTGCGTCTCTTCAGGAGCCCTGTCTATCAACAATGGCCGTGTGGTGAGTGGAGTCTCTTTCATTTTTGTTTTTCTGTTTTTTGTTTATTTGTTTGTTTGTTATTTCTTTGATTCGATTTGCCGCCTTTCGGGAGCCTCATCCGTCCGTTGGTGAGATGGTGAGAGCGAATTACGCCTTCTTTGATTTTGGCAATCCATTGAAATCATAATTAGAAGACAAATGATTCTTCCTTTCGGTTCCACTCTTGCCTCGAGCCTCTCCCCAAACAATGGCAAGGCATCGAAGCTGAAGTGCTTATGTACGCCAGAGTTTGAGAAAGGTCCAAAGAGCAGCACACAGAAACTTGAGCACTAATAAGCTTAGGCAAAGAGGAGGGGGAAGAGATCTTGGTAGAGTGGAAGAATTAATTTCGTAGTACCCCTAACATATTTGTGCATGTTAGTAGGAGGATGAAAAGAAATGAATGTGTAGAATTCCAACGAAAAGTAAACGAAGAATGAAAACGTCACGGTGCGGCAGCTGTTCTGTACATGTAGCTTAAAAGCTAAGGCGCCCGCTCTCAGAGAGCGGTTACAGTGCGCTGTAACCGTGATCTGTAACAGTCTGTTAACTAGCTGTGTCAACAGCGCTGTTGTTCTCTTCAAGTTGCTGCTCTGAACACTGCATTTTTAATGCAACTCTTAGTTTTTTTTTTAACATTTCTTTACTTATACGAGCACATTTAATCCTGTAATCCATCTTACCATATCTGCTTTTATATTCCCATCAAAGATCCTTAACAACTCAAAACACATTTCCATCAAAAGTGATCCATCTCTTCCTTCATAAAGATCCTCTCGTATCTCCATTACCACTCCACCCCATGCCATTCCAGCTAGTTCATATCTATGCTGCGTCTCATCTTCTCTATATCTCAATTGCTTGGGGGATCATAAACCTCACGCACACCCATCAAATGTGATCCATCTCATCCAGATTCCTACAATTTTGATGGGGTTTTTCCTCTGCTCTTTTCGTCACTTCAACATGGGAGGATGTCACAGTTGTCGCCACTGATTTACGGCCAGGGAGAGTTGTCAGCTCATTTCTGTGTGTGTTTTTCTGTGTGTTTTAAACTTGGCATTGACATTGGCTCCATAACATTTTAATAGGGTGCTGGCAGGTGCTAAGGAGGTTCTTCGCTCTCGCTTCCTGTTGCGGTTGGATCCAGTCGCAGTCTGGGGGGAATTGGCTCTGGTTTCTCTCTCCTTGGCATCCCGATCCCTTTGCCTTTGGGGGCTGGTACAAATTGATTTGTAATTAGTTGCAGTTGCAGTCAACAATGTGATTATCTCGGCATTTGGCATGGACTCTCGACCACAAAGCAGTTGGAGGTGGAGCTGCAGCTGAAACTGGAGGTGGGATCAGTGGCAGCTGGGGGCGGAGTTCGGTCTTAGGTTACACAGATGTGCGCAGGCGTGGCCCAGGCCTCATCTCAAGAAGCGCATCCACTTGAGGCTCCCCCGTGTGCATAAATTATATCCAAGGCTAAACATTAGCCCGGGCAATTGACAGCTCCCTTAAGTAGTCCATCTATCCATGACACATGTATGCACAAGTATGGAGGGGAGGGCACTGAGAGTTGTAAACGCATCTGTGGCCAGGGATCCTGCGTGGACAGCCAGCCGATCCTCTGCCATGTGTCAGCAACTGTGGCCCGGCCCCCGGCCCCGACTCCCATCCACAGCCGTTGACAGTCGTCGAGTTCGGGTTCGGGTTTGGTTTCGGTTTCGGTTTTTGTGGTGTAAATCAATGAATGGGATTTGTCAACCATTTTGCGGTTTCCATTTAATGAATACTTTGTGTGTGTGCTGTGCTGTGCTGCGTTTTTTTCCATTCGCTCTTAGAGCAGTTATTAAATTAGAGTTTAATCCAGTTCGGACACGGCTCTGTGCACATTAATTGAATTCATAAATGCGCAGTTTATATCATATTTATAAATTAACTAATTGCCGTATTATTCGATTGTTGTGTTGCCTGTGTTGGTTTTGTTTTTGTTGCAGTTCAGTTGTCTCTCGGCTTTCAGCAATTGGATTAAATTCATAATGCAAACTGGCAGTTAAAATGCCGCATTTAATAATACCCACCACACCATCGGATGAACAAAAAAACAAAAAAATCAAAAATGTTTCAGCATTTGACAGCATTGGGGATTTTCGGTTTATTTTAATTAACTTAATCAAATGAATTTTATGAGGTTTAAGCGAATATGACAGGCCTTGGGACCTGGGACTTGGCAAAAACTCATGGATTATTATGTTGGGGATTTTGTAAACGCATTAAATGCAGTTCTGAATGCAGTTTGAAGGCATTTTTAGTGCCAGGATTGCCTCAGCTTTCTTCTTTAGCGTTTCTTTAGCTGAGAGAAAATTACAATTTTCCATTTCTTATCGAACCGAAATCTTAATTAAGAACTTGCTGCCATCAGAAGTTCTCCCATGAATTTTCTGATTAGTTTCAACTGGCCTAACAGACAGTGTATCCCAATAGCCATTTCAAATTGATGGCAAGTCTAATGAAGAAACAGAATCATTAGCTGCCTTCCCACAAGTTCTTTATCAGGCAACATTAACACCTCCATCTTTCCCTGTATTTTTTTTTTTTTGTAGTACAGACATCCCCTGTCAGCGTCATCATTCATATTCATTGTCGGTCATATGAATAATGTCAAACAATTTCATTGCATCAGGTCCAAGTTCAACCCCGAAGGGAGCTGCATTTATGTTTTGATCGATTGCAGGCCAAGAGCTGAAACTACTTTGACATTAATTGACTGCCAAATATGCACAAGCGCATGAAATTATGGAAAATCTTATTAAAGTCAACCCATCACAGCCCCAGGCCCCAACCCCTACCCTTCGTTTGCGCTGAAAAAAATCTACTCGTCCAAAAGTTCATAAATGCTAATGTGCCCCGGAGCCTGACGATGATTGATGGTCTCAGACGCCAGCCGAAGGAACGAAGTTCCTCTGCGGCTGAGCGGGTTTTGAGGGTTCTCCCATTTGCCGCACAGAATGCGCAAAATTATGCGGCCAACACAAAAACCAGGATCAATCCTTGATGAAATGTATACATTTCACCTTTATTCTGCTGCTTCTGCTGGTGCTCCTGCTGCTGCTGCTGCTGCTCCGGCTAATGCTCCTATTTAAGCCAATTTAATCCCAAACAGGCTTAAGACCTTACGATCTGGGATTAGGCCATGTTGCAACATCTTTTCCGACGAAGATTTAGTTGTTATGCGGTGGCAAATATTTGGCACAAGGATTTCTGTTTCGTAGGCGGTGTTCCTCTAATGATCTTTGTCCAAAAAAGGAAATCAGATTTGCTAGTTCCTGGGAAAGTAAACCGAAACAGAGAGAGAGAGCGAGAGGGAAATAACTCTTTGTCCTTTCTGTCTGTTGTAGGGTCCCAAGTCCTATCACGGTGGCTCTGCATTTGTCTGTTATATTTGGCCTCCGGCACGTGTCCTGCTTTTTTGCTTGCCTCAAGTTCACACTCGGCAGACAGCAGACAGCAGACAGGACCCTCGCCTCCACTCCCACTTCTATTTCGGGTGGGATTCCCTTTTTTTTTTCCATGTGTCTATTGTAGTCCGCAGCGCATAATTTTTCACTCGCTTGTTTGTTGCGTATCCTTTGCTGGGGATATTTTTTACCATATTTTCTCTCATGTGTGTGTTGATAAATTTGCTTAGATTATTATCCTGGATCCTGGTGTGTGGCCTGCTTTGCTTGCTCGCTGTTATCTCCCTGTCGTAATTAGTCTCGAGCTTGTTTGCGCCGCATTTACACAAAATGCTTTTCCAGGCACCCCACGCACCCAGGCAGAATCAGACATGGAGCTAAAGTACGGACAGAAAGATGGGCTAGGCCTGGTCCGAGTCCTGCTCCTGGATTTCTATGGGGCATTTTGTCTAGGCAAATTGCTCGGGCATTCACATACACAGCTCGCTTTGTTTAGTTGTAGGCAGCTACAGAAATACTTGAGGCTCTCTAATAGATAACCCAAGACGAGGCATACATATCTCAGAGAGAAAGAGAGAGGTCTCACCTACGTCAAACTTACAACCTTTTAGCATAAATTTCTTCAGTCGAGCACGACAGGAAGTCGCCGGCAAACGTCGCCCTTAACCGCAGCCGCAATTTCCATTAGCAGCCTAGCAATACCAACGTCATATGTGGGATGTGTGTGTGTGTGTGTGTGTGGGATGGTCCCCAAGAACATTTGACATTTTAAGGAGCGCCAAGTGAGTTGCAGGATCGCAGGTAAAATGTAAAGGTAAAAGCCCCCAGACGGAGAGAGCCTCGCCCATGGATATGTCAACTGTTTTTAGCACGCACAATTTGAGGGAAAGGCAAACACAGAAACAAACGCAAAGAGCTGGGGAAATATTCTCCAAGGTAACATGAATAT